CCCCCCCGGGTCAGAGAGGTGTGACCCCCCCTGGGGTCAGAAAGGTGGGCCGGATAAAGGAAATAGAGGTACTGCTTTTGAAATCCTTCTTCTACTGTAGGGATAAAGGGATTTTATCCTAAATTAGTCTGGAGCGTCCTTGGGCCAAGGGGACTCAATTTTATATAAAGGATGGGTGTGGCCCACCTGGGGGCAGAGGATCAGGGCCCAATAAGAGAAGGAGACGTAAACATTTAAAAGCCTTATTCTATCATAAGGATTAAAGGGTTTCATCCCAATTTTGTCTAGAGCATTCTTGGGACAAGACTCAATTTTTTATAAAGGATCGGTGTGGCCCCCCTGGGGGCAGAGGATCAGGGCCCAATAGGGAAAATAGAGATAAAACCTTTAAAATCCTTCTTCTATTATAGGGATTAAGGGATTTCATCCCAATTTAGTCTGGATTATCCTTGGGACAAGGTGACTCAATTTTATAAAAACGGTGGGTGTGGCTCCCCTGGGGTCAGCGAGGCGGGGCCCAATAAGGGAAATAGAGGTAACGTCTTTGAAATCCTTCTCCTACCATAGAGATTAAGGGATTTTATCCCAATTTAGTCAGGGGGCACTCAATTTTGTATAAACAGTGGGTGTGGCCCCTTTAGGTGCAGAGGGGCAGGGATCAAAAGGAGAATTGGAGGTTTAAAATTTTCAAAATCCTTCTTCTGTACCATTGGAGGGATTTAATCCAAATTTGGCCTGGAGCATCCTTGAGCGAAGGGGATTGGATTTTGTATGAATGGAGGATGTGGCCCCTATAGGTGCAGAGTTATGGGGCCCGAAAGGGGAATTTCAGGTTTATTTTAAGTTTTCAAAATCCTTTTTCCTCTGTACCATTGGAGAGATTTCATCCAAATTCGGCCTGGGGCATTCTTGGGCAAAGAGGACTAAAGTCTTTTATAAATGGAAGGTGTGCCCCCTTTGGATGCAGACTTACAAGCCCAAAAGGGGAATTTGAGGTTTGAATCTTTAAAATCCTTCTTCTTCAGTACCATTGGAGGGATTAAGAATAATTTCCCATGGTTGCTTCATTATCCAGGTGAGCGATAGAGGCACAGATCTTGTTTATGTTTTATGCTCAATGACACTGCTAGATTTTTAGGTCACCTGAGCTGAAAGTTGAAAGTTGGTAGGAATGATTGCCTCATGGTCCTGACAAAGTGTTGTTATTTTTCGGGTCGTTCAGAAATCCAATATGGCCGCCACGGCCGCCATTTTGAAAAACTATTTCAAACTTAAAGTCAAGTTCTGCTAGGCCGATTGAACTGAAACTTTGTAGGAATAATCAGCTCATGGTCCTGACAAAGTGTTGTTATTTTTCGGGTCAATCAGAAATACAATTTGGCTGCCATGGCCGCTTTTTTGCTACTAAATTCTAATAGGCCGATCTCACTTAAAATATGTCTAGGAATGATCAGTTCATGGTCCTGACAAAGTTAAGTTAACATTATACTATTTTTTACTCAAATTGGTACATATTTCAACAAAAAAAAAAATACGGTAGACTCAGGTGACCGTTAAGGCCCATGGGCCTCTTGTTATGTATGCAACAGTGTGTGGGTATGTTGTAGCCCCCATACCCAAAAGCTAGGTATTGAATGTTGTTGGGACTGTGATGAACATTGATATGAATTAACAATGAAACTTAGCAAATGAACAATGGAGGTACATGTATATGCTGCAGTAATATCCCATTTCTCACACAGATACAGCATATATAGGAACCTGTAAATAAAGAAACCTGTCTAAAATGTGGTCAGACATTTAGTTATATGCCAGTATGTCCCTGGGTGCAGTTCTATCATGGTTCGCACAGGTCTTTTGAATTTGATGTCTGTCTTGAAAAACCCTTGAAAATGACTGTAAGCCTTGAAAAACCCTTGAAAAGCAGTGAAGTTAGTTGGGTATCCGTTTCTGTCATGTTAATTCAGTATTTTGTAAACATTTGTCGCAAACAATAATTATTTTTTACACCATTTTGATCGTCAAATTGCAAATCGTAATTTTTAATAATTCCAGATAATATATACCGATGAAGTTTCCAGTTTTACTTTTTATACGCCCGTCGAAGACGGGGACGTATTATGTTATCACGTGAGCGGGCGGGCGGGCGGGAGGACCATAATTTGTGGAGTTATGCCCCTTTATGGATTTGCAGAAACAGTGTCCGCTCGATATCTCGAGTAATTATTAACGGATTAACTTCAAACTTCACAACAAGGTTAATTACCATGAAA